GTCAATGTCTAAGTGATGTAGTTTCGTTCGTTATTGCCGAAAAACTCATCTTCGCTAGAAGTAACTTCGTCGTGTTCCATACTTATTGGGCTCAGAGTAGACCTGTAGTGGGATTTAGTTCCCCCGGAGCAGGGAAGCCCAAACTTACTTACTTACTACTTACTTCGTCGTGTTCCATACTTTTGGGCTCAGTAACTTTGAAAGAAATACTGCGATCGGCAAGAAGGTTGAGTTCGAACTGATGTCGAAGACAGAGTCCTACCCGCGGGTCGCAAGTTTTTTGAGATAAGACTTTAAAATCGCATAAGCATTGCAAAGACAACCTTTATTTGAGATAAGACATCCTTATAGCTATTCAGACACCTCGTAATAGATCTACAAAAGGCCAAGTAGATCTCTCAAGCGATATTCCTTAGTCAAACACAAATAAACACATCGATTGAATGGTGCCTCCAGCACCGCTCGATTATCGCATCACATGCAGTGGTGCCTGGGAGGCACCGCTCGAATGCAAAGGGTTAAACTTCGTCGAAAGGGGAGTTTTTTTTTTAAAGTTTTGTGTGTTACCTTTATTTATTAAATATCACGTCCTACGTACTCAAACTATTAAATTCAGTTCAACAGCAATATCGCAAATTAATTTTAAAATGAGTATAGCTTTAGAATTTCCGATACATAGTCTCGCGCGCTGGAGATAAAAATGTTTTATTTTCGTACTGTGTTGCCATTGGTCGCTTTGAAATCGTTTAGTTTTTTAATCAAATATTCGTTGAAGTGTTACAAAATCTGAAATCGATAATAAAACAAATTTTAAATTCAAATTAGGGCTTCCACATGCCCATATTCTATGGAAGATTGCGTTATTCAAATTTTGATGGCTCTAGGTACCGTTGTTTTATCATAATGCGACAAACATACATACATTTATGCAGTTCTTCATTATTTAATTTCTTTAAATATAAGACAGGGCGATAATAAGTGGTGGCAACGATTTGAAATGTGATACAGCCTTTTAAAGTTTTCGACGCAAAATGCCAAAACGAAATTATTAGTCCTTCAGGGCAAATTGCCCCTTTGGACTAAAAAAAAGAGAGAGAGAGAAACTAATTAGTGTCCTCTTTCGGGGTGGAGATTGCCAGACATTCAGAAGCTTCATTTTAAATACGCGCTTAATGAGACTGTCTAAGAAAATACGCGCCGGATAGGTTTTCGAAGTCTAACCTGTAGTTTTCGAGCAGAGTTTGGGTTTTGTAATGCGCTGGCCACATTCAAATGTCTCATGGAAATCGTGCTGAAAGTTCTTTTTAACGAAGCTGTCTCATTGTGTGATAAACTTGGATGGTATAAGGTATTTCTCCCACCTTCTTGACATGCCGTCGTGGCGTAGTGGTCAGCACACTCGACGCATATTCGAGAGGTCTGTGGTTCGAGTCCCGGCGAGGGCACTGCTCTTTTTTCACATCTCCTGCTTCCCAAAAATCCTAATGTCTCTACAGTGGCGCCCGAACTAAAAGGTGGTGAATGATGATTCTTGACCACCAGGATTTGGCGATTGGGTCCCCTAATCACCAATCGCCCTTTAAAAAGGGGGAGTATATAAGGTATTTCTCCCGCCTTCTTAGCATGCCTTCGTGGTAGGTAGTAGTGGTGTAGTGGTCAGCAAGCTCGACTCGCATTCGAGATTTCGTGGTTCGAATCTTGGTGAGAGCATAGCTCATTTTTAACATCTCCTGCTTCCAAAAAATCCTAATGTCTCTACACACCATGATCGTAAGAAAAGTTTTGAATAGCGTTTCGAAAATAATAGGTAATTGCTCGAGAAATTAAAGGAAGCAAATCCAAAACTCAGTCCTGCCAAATGTAAATTATTAAAACTAGAAGTGCTTTACCTCGTATATGTCAACTCTGCCGAAGATTGGTGTACAAATCAAGAAAAATGGTTTGACAGTGAAGGACAAAGAATCCCCAAAAATGTCCATCAACTTCGACGTTTCCTGGGACTTTGCACTTTCTTTTTCAGGATAATTTCTATGGACAATTCTTCCATCTCAAGATCATCTTCAGAAGCTGACAGAGAGCAACGAAATGTTTATGTGGTCTAAAGAATGTGAAGAGAGCATTTAACAAATTGAAGAATGTTATAACATCTGCGGCCATCCTACACGTCCTCAGTTCAACAAAACATTTATTTTTGGCAGGGATGTGAACAATGAGAATGTTGGTGCTGTTTTGTTCCACAAAATAAGCGGTCAAAACTGCGTCGTCGCATTTTGAAGTATGTACTAAACAGGAGAGGACGTACTGTCACCCGAAAAGAGATTCTCTCAATAGTTAAAGCGTATAGAACATTTCCTCTGCAACAAAAATTCCGCACAGATCAAGCATCGTAGGCCTGGCTGCTAAATTTCAAGAATCACTAACGGAAAATAGCCGGATGGATAGATAGAATGCAGGGATACGATATAAATATCCGCCATAGAAAAGGATCGTCACACGAAAACGCCTACGCCCTGTCTAAAAGACCTTGCCCAGAAGCTCGAGGTATTGTTTAAGGGTCAAAGCCAAATATGACCTGGTTAATCCGATCGATGTAAAATTACAATTTCAAAAGAGCTTGAAACAGAACCATAGCGTGACGAATTCAGGAAGGACCAGTTAGAAGACGGCGACTTAATCTTTGAATGGGAAACCTACCTCCCAGAATATTTCAATCTACAGTCCTAAGACCAAACAATACTGGGCTCTTTAGGACGCACTCTATATTTGCATTGGCGTCTTGCACCGAGAGTTCGAATCGGGTGATGGAAAGGTATTCCGATGGCAGCTGACACTTACAAGATCCCGGATTCCACGCGTTCTTAATGAATTACGTAGCAGTCCAATAGACGGCAATTTCGGAATAATGAAGACTTTGTATAGCGTTGCTTCTACCGCTGTAATGCAGGGGCTGATGTGCAAAAATAGTACCAATCTTGCGATGCCTATTCGGGCCGAAAAGGGCCGAAGAAACGCAGCCGAGGGAATTTGCAAAGTTATAATGTAGGTATGCCTTTAAAACGCATCGTCTTCGACCTCCTGAGACCTCTGCCATGAAGTACTAATGTCAATAAGTACATCCTCGTTGCCATTGGTTACTTTCCAAAGTGGCCTGAAGTGAATTCTATTCCTGATCAAAACGCTGTAGAGATGGCACAGGGAATGATAAGCATTGGATTTCCAGGCCCCGAGTGCCTCTTCAGTTACATTTCGATCAAAGAAGGAATTTTATATCGGCTGTAATTAAAGAACTCTGCAAACTACTCGGCATAGAGAAAACCCAAACGACACCTTTACATCCGCAGTAAGACAGCATGATAGAGATGTTTAATGGAACTATACTTAACAATCTCTAGCTGATGTCTTCCATATACCAACAGGATTGGGACCAGACGTTATCTGTGATCTTACTGGCCTATCGCAACGCTTTCCGCAAGACTACTGGCTATTCCTCTTCCAGATGCTGTACGGTTGTAACCTTCGTGTGCATGGCTTCAATGCACAGTTTTACACGACAGCGAGCAACTTTACGACAGGGACTTTGAAGACCGATACGACACGACATTTACAAGACAGCTATTCAAGGTAGATGAAAGTGTATATTTATGGAGTCTGATTCGACGGAGAGGATTTTCTCCTAATCTACAATCACCCTGGGAGGGTCCCTTATGCAGTCCTAAACAAGCTGGACGACGTAGTAGTTCAAATCTGTCTGTCATGAAATTCTAAACTTAAAGTATTTCGTTCCGACTGGCTAGTCCTTTACTACAATAGTACGTAGTACCCATAGTTTATCTAACGTAAATAGTCAATGGTCCTATGTGTATATCAGTTTGTAAATTTATGCATTTATTTATTGATTTATTGCTTGAGTTGATGTATATTGTTTATAGAAGTTTTTAGTTTAGTACTGAATTGATTTACTTTAGTTATGAGTATGGCTTCCTGTTCAGGGATTGTACTGCCCAGGATCTGCAGTCCTTTGGAAGTAGTCAGTGTTACGAATGTTATAATTTAAATCGTAGTATCTCTTGTATAATATAACATGAAATGCCTCAAGGAGCTCTGCTGGAAATACAAGTTTACAGGGCCAGGTCCATTTAACATTGAGGTAAACGGCTTTGTCAAGATAGTGTAAAGCTGGCGATGGTTTTAATGACTAATTTTCTCACCAGATTCAGCAAGAAATCGCCAAAGGTACCAGATCCGAACGCTAATTTGTCTAATTCATGTATGCAACTGTTACTGTGTCTGGTTTATATGTAACTTTAACCATATATGCCTTCCAATTATTTTGAGAAATGAAAGGCACTGGAAAATTTGTGGCTGCATACGGAAAACTATAAAACTATACTTAGGACCGGAGACAGAATTGTTCTCAGATTGCAATTCAGTGCTGACTTTGGAGTACTGAAAGATCTCTGTGCAAGCTTCGTCTTTTAGCTGAGCTTTGCACTGCGTTGTGTTTAGAGTTCTTAGCAGCTTAAATTAACAGCTAATGATTGTGCTGTGTGATACTGAAAAGATAAGTACGAGTACTTTTGTGAAAGTATTTAGAACTGTAAAGTGTTTATTTTGAGATAATAAATTTTGTCAACCGATCATCGGGTCTGTGTGAGTTCAATCCATTACAAACCCGTAAGCAGATGTTTTTCTTTTCTTTGTAGCTTTATCATTTCCACCATGTGAGCACGCCGAGTCACCCATTTTTCATCTTCCACCCTTTTCCTTCTCCAATCATCATTTCGCGAACACCTGAAGCCACTCGCTTTCTTTTAAAATTTTCACCACAGTCTAAGCCTACTTACAGTAACAATCTTTCCTTCTAATAATAAAACTACACATTTTCTTCTAGCAGTAATTTTTCAACGAGCAGTCATTAGAACATATACACACAGAATGTATATACTGTTTTATTTATTGTTTGAATCCTTAATTAGCATTTGTAATACTTTTTCTTTTAGATCACTGTTCGGTGGCAGCACTTTACTGCTTTTCCTTATTTGTTTCTGTTGCCAAAGGAAATTACAGGCCAGGACACTCGCAATGGCCGATATCACTGACGTCGAAAGTCAACAAGCCAGACAGGTGAGATTGACTTTGAATTTCTTAAAATTTATGTAAACAACACCATGCTTATAAACAAGAAATTCATTCTACGTACAGTGGCCTCATTTAACGAACAAATTATCTGAACAAAAAACGCTTCGAATGGCAAACGGTGTCTCAAGTTGCGAACACTCAAGCCGGCAACCTATTACTTTCAAAGATGCTTTGTGGTAAACTATGCTACTTAATTAACAATCAGAGATTTCTGGAAACATCATTTTAACACCATATTTCGTCTCATATTTTCCTTTTATATTTACTCCTTTTATCATTCGAAAATCGAGAGGGGAAAATGAAGCAAATTATTTAATTTCCGAAAGACGCATCATGGTAAGGATATGGATAAACTACACGTTTTGCAAAAAAAAATCGAAGCACGATGAAGGAAGTGGTTGTTTTTAATGGAATTGAATATATGCATAGCTCATACACAGATAATAAAATGATGAAAAAATCAAGGTCATAGTACCTGTTCACGGCTCACAATCACCCATTGTGTGTTGAAATTAGTAGGTGGTCAAACCGCGCCTGGCGGCAATGCATGCTCGAATTCGTCGAGGCAAGGGGTGGTCGAGGTTCCTAATGTCATTCTGCGACACATTCTGCCAGGCATTCATCAGTTGTCGTTCCATATCTGCGATATTTTGTAGTGCCCGAATCTGGCGGCCTGCCATATCCCAAACATGCTCGATTGGTGAAAGGTGTGGTGACCTTGCTGGCCAAGGAAGAGTATCAACCGCACGGAGACAGTCCAGAGATATGGGAGCGGGATTGTCCTGGCATTATCCTGTGGGAAATAGTCCAAGATGGCGTAACATAGGGTAATAAGAATGGCACGGATGGTATCAGCCTATTTGTTGAGCGTTAAAGATGTATGCGGATGACTAAAGCTGGTCTAATGTCATAAATAAATAATCAACACCTCAGGGTTAGTTTTGTAAAAAAAAAGGCTGATTTGGGACCGCCGGCCCCGTACCTCCAGCACGAACACAGTGGTCATTTGCGTCAAAGTGAAGCGGGATTCGTCACTGAACACTAAAAGTGCCAGTCTGATGCCAGCCATGATGGTCGGCTGCGACACCTACCAACGACCTGTCGATGTTGCGTGTCAAAGGCAACACGTCTTAAGGCCTCTTGAGCGTACCCCGGCTCAACAAGCGCCGTGAGACGGGGACGTACACGGAGGTGTGGTTGTAGTGAATAGTCGACAATGATACGTGGTGCGTTCGAGCCTGGCGAACAATCATTCTATCTTGCCCTCGCATTGGTGCTCATTTTCCTTCCATAGCCTCATCGTCGGCAATGACCTTGTAGACCACATGCTGCCAACATCTTTGCAGCAATTAATCTGCCGCGCAGTGGCGCCTATTGCGGTGACCACCTTTTCACGCAACACTACAATGCGACCAGTTCGAAGTCGTTTAATTGTCTGTAAGGTCATCGGTTCGTGATAGCACTTTTATTTGTTCTAGGCGGGTACAATGGCAGCAACAAAAAAAAGATAAATTTTGCACCTCTGTTACTGGTTTTATACTTTGCGAATTGCGCACTACAAATGCGCGCTATGAACGCAATTCCTGTTCATTTGCCTTGAAAATTTGATAATTTATATATTCGATCAAGATGTTTTTGCATACCAAAATTCGTCACGATCGCAAAAGTCCTTCTTCGTGCTTCGAATTTTTTGCAAGAGTATACATTAAAATATTATTTCTTTCAAGGAATGTACATTCCGATAAGAATATGAAGTAATATTTAATAAGATAGTTCCATTTGTACTTCCCTGTAGCTCGAATCTCGTCCGTTCTCATTGTTGTCTTTACTACTCCTCAGGCCTCGAATCAGTCATATACAGTTAGAGAAGGCGAATGTATAGTCGACCTGGCGAAATCGTAGACTCGGACGTCGGTTCGTGTCGGTTCGTGTCGCGGTGATGGGTCAGCACTTACATAAGATAGGAACAAAGTTCAAGAGTCAGAAGGGAAAGGTGCGGCGTGTTCTTCGAAGGTAGTTTGCGAAGGATTGTCCTTGTGAATAAAACTACGTGGACGAATTCATTTTAAAATTTAGGAGAATTCATTTTCTGAACGCGTTAAGGAGGAGGGTAATTATGCGAATACTTTTTCAGAATCTGGCGTTAAAATGTTAAAACAAAAATACCCGAGGAAATCCTGCATTTTTCATTATTTCAAGCCATTAACTCATTAACAAACCCTGGCAGCAAGTGACTTACAGGACCAGGACTTCGGCTGGGATAAAGGATGGCCAGATTGGATTGCAGGCAGATACTTTCGGTATTTTGAGACATATTTGTTGATGATATTGTAGATAAAACCATGGATCTTGATAACGATGTCTATAAATTACTGGAGACTATAAAAATAAGCTCAATAAGAAAGAATTACAACGTCAAAATCTATTGTATTTTTAGAAAAATAGAAAGAAAACTGACCCTAGTTCTCTGATCCCCGAAATGAGCAAAATGGAATAAGATGCCAAGTTTTCATGTAACGATATCATCCTGATAAGGTGATACAACATAAGCACTTCTAATAAAAATGCCATATCTCACTTAAGAAACATTTATAAAGTCTTACTATTTTTTTTTGCAGTATAAACTAAATTCAAGACCCAATCTGAACGTAAACGACTTGTCGCTGCGTCCAGTAAAAGGCGGAGACGTACGAAGGTTATAAAAGACCCTCATATTAAACTCAGAGTAATTTAACAGAAGGCACTTTGTGTGCTCATAAAAGAGCCAGCATTTATGGCGTAACTTAAAAGTAATGAATTCTAAGTATAGATAAAAGTATAGAAATAAAAGTAATGAATTCTAAGTATAGAAATAAAAGTAATGAATTTTAAGTATCGTAAGTAGTCAAATGAATTCTACACAGAATGAATTATGCGCAAGTTGACTCAAATCTAATACCAACGTGACAAGCCTAGTGGCGAGAATAACACAATGCCGCAGACAGACTGCTATCTAAGAAATTTAACTAGTAACGTGGCCTTCAGCAGGCGGAACACGCTCTATTTCAACAATCTAACACTTCCTTTAAATACTATCTCTTTCTTCCTCGTTTGAATGCTCGTGAGCTAAAATTTGCATTCTGGCGAGAAAATCGAAAAGAAGAAAGACAGTAAATGTAAAAGCTATTGAACATAAATAACTGGTTAGTTAAAAATAAATAAATCCTTATACATTTTATAACTTAGGTAGCAAGAAATCGCATTTTGAGAAAACGGAGGCCCAATGGGTAGTACGGATGATAATGGGTAATCCCACGCATAGTGCAGGTGTGTGCTCAAAATTCTGCAACGGTCTGGATCCTGTAACTTTAGACACAAAAGTGTCAGCTATGATATCAAATTTAAAAGATTTCTGGTGCAACATCGAAAGACTTAACTTTATCGTCGATTGTCTAAGTCAATAAGACCTCAACCTGGGTCACCCTCTAACTGTACTCTCATAATGTGCAAATGCTCACCAGCGGCCGAGCGGTAAAGTCGCTGAACACTGGTAGTTCGGTCCGAGATTCGAATCCCGCGAACTGGCTGGCTGCATGGGCGTTTTCGTGGTTTTCCCCATGTGCATTTCCCTTAGAAAGTTAGTCACGAAGGCATTCCTCCCCTTAGGCAGATAGCCCTCGAGGCTTTGCCATAATCACACACACATAATGTGCACACAGTGACTCCATGAAAAAATTCTTGTAACCTTTGTAACTTTCTTTTTAAACTTCTTAACCGTCTTGTAATCTATTTGTATCCTTCTTATAACCTATTTGTAGCCTTCTTATAACATGTTTAAAATTGCAAATAAAGTACCAGTTGGAGGCATCTGAAGAGGCCAGATGGTTAGTGTGCAATTTTTTCTATCACGCCCTCACACTTGCGCCTGACCTCACGTGTCGCGGTCAAGGAAATCTTGCAGTCTACAAGGTTACATTATTACTGTTGAATTTACATCCTTTCTGAAAAGAGGTTTTGAGTTTTAAACAGGGTCCAGGTTGAATGGTAAATTTGTGTTCGTATATTTTTATGTAAGCAGTCACAAATGGTGAGAAGAGTTTTCATTCTGTTATTTATTTGTTCGATGGTTAGCTATTCTGGTGAGGATGGTTCACTTCCCAGAATATACGTTACACCTTATTTTCATGGTAATTGGGATCGCAAAATTAGTTGGAACAAACAGAAAGATGCTCCAACATCTTCCTTTTCAATTTCAACTTATGCCCTTTTTTAATACACTGCCCTTCAATGCAGGTGCATATTTGATTACCGATGACCAGTCGACCCCTTTAAAATTTCATCGATCCGAGAAATTCCTGGCTTAGACCTTTTGGGAATCGCTCGAACATCGAACACTGGTTATTTATCTCGAGTTGAAATCCCGTCAAACGGGCCAGCTGTATGACTATTTTCGTGGTTTTTCCCATGTGTAATACGAACACCAGCCAATTTTTTTGAGAAAGTCTCCATGCAAACAACCATTCCTTTAGGAAGACAGCCCTCATTTGCTTAAGTACGTGTAACATTCCTTATGTGTACTTTTCGGCCCTATCCAGAGAGGCCAATTTTTCATATTATACTTCCAATAATTATTGAAGTCTATAGCTTTAAATAGCGACTTCAAGGCCCTTCATATACAATCGTAACGGATGTCGTTATCACCGCGCAAAAGGGATTAGAGGATATTATCAAATCAGAGACTCGACCATCTTCCTCAGTATTCGTCACCATGATTATGAGTCAAGCCAAAAAGGGAGAAATCATCTTCAACTTTCAATTATAAAATAACAGATGATAATGTAAACGACTGCTCGTTTCTTAATTTTTCTCCAGTTTTCGATTGTGTCAACAAAAGAATAGGACTTTACCAGCATTTCACTTCAAGCTTTGGAAGCGTTTTAAAGTGTAAAACTGCATTTATAAAAGAGTTTTCATTCCACCTCTAATAAATATATAGTTAAATATGA